TGCCAGTTGAGAGAGAGGGCCTTGAATCTGATTAGCTTTGCCTGAGGGAGCCAGGAGGGCCTTCCTAAATCACGCATATCTCAATGTTCCCTCTCTCCCCCTTTGGTTCAGGGGCTTTGGGAGCCATGGTCTAGCTTTTGCAGTGTCACTTGCCAGATTCCCGTGCTGTCTATGCTTTCACATCAGGGTGGGTGACAAAGAGTGGCCCAGAAGGAAAAAACAAACAGAGGAAAGGTCTTTGGGTCTGTTGACGTTATAAATGCTATTGATTTTACACGATTTTTCCATTGGGAGGACAGTGAGCTGACCTGGTTTTACAGCTGGCTCGGGCTTTGATGCCACTGATTAGGCCATGAACTGAGAATCCAAGAAGCTATGGATTTATCTCAATACATACTTGATAGTCACCACTCTCAGCAAAGCCAGACAGGGGCCGCCCAGGGTACAACATGGGAGGATGTAGATGGTACAGGCCTCTGTTCTTTCCACATTTTCCTAGGGATACTGTATGACCCCTTCATACAGTAAAAAAAAAAAAGTTACATAGAGTAAGTAAGCCCCCACTTACTCTCAGATCTCACTGGACCTGGATGGTGCTGGAGGAGGTGGGGGTTGGGGGCTTTTCAAGCAAGAAGGACTCTAGACACCAAGCTCAGACAGGAAGAAGATGGTTGAAAGAGCATTGAACTGTGACTTGGTGACTTGGACTTGTATCCCAGCTGGGCCACTAATTAGATGTCTGATTTCAAGCAAATGACTTCCTTCTTCTTGTCTCAGTTTCTCATCTGTTAAGTGATCTGTGGAACTAAATGATCCCTGTGGTCCCTTCCAGCAGATTTGTAAAAAATGCAGAAGTTAGGAAGGTGGAGAAGGATATAAAGAATAGAGGAAAGCGTAAGAATGTAACATTCCAGTTCAGTGCAGAAGTGGGAAAATGGGAGAAAAAGGGGTGTGCTGCATCGTGGTGGAGTAGAAGTGGCCCAGATGCCTAGATCCTGTTCCCAATTCTCCCATTAATGAACTATCTGACCTTAGGCAGGTCATTTCCCCTTTTTGTACCTCATTCAGGTGGGAAGAATGAGTTAGCTTCTTGCCCCACCTATACCCCAGATTATTTTCTTGTTGGGAAGCCTAGGTACGCACACACATGGGAGTAGATTTCAGTGCTCAGAGGTGTGACACCAACAGTAGGTGCATTTGAAGAAGGAGCAGGTGATGGTGGCTGCTAGGTAAGACCTTACCTAAAGGTCAAGGGAGGATAGTAAAGAGGAGCAGCAGCCCCAGAATTAGACATACCTGGATGAAATTATTAGCTCTGGCCCTGCCTGATTATGTAACCCAGGGCCAGTCATTTGCTCTATCCAACTTATAGTTTCCTTACTCACAAAAGTAGAGAATTGAACTAGTTGATCCTCAAGGTTCCTACCATCTCCATGATTATGTGTGAAAGGAAATGCAACAAAAAGAGGCCAAAAGATGCCAAGTAGGCCAAAGGGAAGAATTTTGTGTTCAAGGAGGAAGCCAGCCAGTGTGGATCAGACAAGTTTGCCAGGAGAAAAGAAGGGTGGTGTTCCCAGAGTAACAGTGGGCTAGGGGCGGGAGGCGCAGTAGTGGTGAAGGAGATGAAGGAGAAGGGGAAAGAAAAGACAAGATCGTTTCAGAGAATTGATTCAAAGGGACACAAAAGCAGGTTTGATGTGAGAGAACTTGGTTGGAGGGCCTTCTGATAGGAACCGCTGCCTCTTCAGTGGGTCTCAGACAAGATGCTGAGAGTGGTAGTGAGTGCTACAGCAGCCTCACCAAAAGCTAAGCCGGGAGTGGAGGGTGGGAAGCTGGAACACTTTTCAATTGGCAGGAATTCCACAGAGGAGAGGGTGGTCAGGAGCCCATTCTTAAGTATTTGATACTCTTGGATTTTATACATCATTGATCCCTCCCCATACGCTGAGATTGAGTCTGGGAAGATGTGGAAACTGAGGCCCTAAGAGAGGTGATTCAACCTGCCTGGAGTCACATAACAATTTCGTGGCAGGACCAGGAGCAAGAGTTGGTCTCTCTCCTGATTCAGAGCCCAGTTCTTTTGGTTACCGCTTCCCCCTCCATTGTATGCTCTTAAGCAAATCCTTGGTTGGAATTGTTTGCTTCTTAAGGAAAAAAATGGAGTGAAGAGAAATCAATTCCAAGTAACTGAGGGTCTCAGGGTCTTGAGAGGCTGAACCGTGCTAAAAGGTGCTGTGAGCCATTTGGCCACAGAGCCCATGTTTGGGGAGGGAGCGGTGAGGAGTGGGTAGGGTGAAGAGTGTGGGTTCTGGAGTCAACTTATCCTCCAATTTCAGCTCCAGCTGTGTGACCCTGGGTTGGTCACCAAATCCCTGAGCTTCTATTGCCTCATCTGTCATCTTTAAAAAAAAAAGTTACATAGAGTTGTGAGAAATAAATGAAATAATGCATGAAAAGTTCTTGGCCCAGTACCTGGTGCATAATAAACTTTCAAAAAGTAGTAGCTGTGATCATTACCATTACCTTTAATGGTTTAACAAACCTGAGATTTTGTGATCTTTCTTACCAACCTCCCATCCCCACCAAATACCTACATTCTGCACCAGGAACTTCCTTCTTTCCTTACTTGCCTCATAATCCTGCCACCACTTCAGTTGCTGAGCCTTGGGTCTCTGAGACCACCTTTGTCACCTCCATTATGGGATCAACTTTCTCAGGTGGCTTCTCCAAAGAGTCCCACTTCCTCTTAACCTGCCTGCTGACATAGGGCCCCAGCAACGGGCAGAGGGAGGGAGATGGATACCAGAGGCCAACAAAATGAGGCCATGCATTGCTGCCCTATCACCAGTCCCCTGGCAAGGCCTAGCAAGGTCACCTTTTGCCTCTAATCTACTTTAGGGAGAGGGGATTGAAATGAAGCCCCAAGGGAGCTCAGATGAGAGCAAGGGCTTTGCCCCCACAAATTAAGAGAAAGCTTCCCTGGAGTATTTGCCAGATCAAAAGACATTACAGCTAAAAGGACTGCCGTGACCTAGTATAGGAACAGATCTATTAGATTCATGCTGCCCCATGGTAGGTGTCATTTTCAAGCCCCTAGATAAAGCTCAGGGGCCCCTAATTTTGGTGAGGGAAACCTAGGTTTCCTCAGTGAAAATATTCCTAGTTATAGACCTTCGGAAGGAGCTGATTGCTTATGCTGGGAAATTCAGTGTCCCAAACTGATCTCAGCCTCATTCCTGGGGGTAAGGTGGGGTCATCAGAGAAATTTGGAGGCACTAGGCCAGAGAGGCCCAAAATAACCTTCTAGCATTCAGGTCCTGGAAATGAAAGAGCCCATCCATTCTCTGGGTTGAGAGGTGAATGAGATGAGTGGGAAGAGCAGGTAGGTGAACCTGGTGAATCTAGAGGTGGAACAGGCAACTGCCTATCTGGCAGGATTTCACAGGCCCCAAAGCAATCACCATCCCCAAATTTCTCCCAGCATAAGTAACGAAAGAATGATGTGTTTCTTTTAAAAAATATTTTTATTTATTTATTTATTTATTTATTTATTTATTTATTTATTTAAATTTCTTTATTAAGGTATTACATGTGTCGTTATTCCCCCATTACCCCCCAAACCCCCCACTCATGCCCTTACTCCCTGTTATCTGTCCATTGATTAGGCTTATATGCATGCATACAAGTCCTTCGGTTGATCTCTCCCCCTTACCCCCACCCTCCCCTACCTTCCCTTAGGTTTGACGTTCTGATTGATGTTTCTCTGTCTCTGGATCTATTCTTGTTCATCAGTTTCTGTTGTTCATTATTATCCATAAATGAGTGAGATCATGTGATATTTATCTTTCTCTGCCTGGCTTATTTCACTTAGCATAATGCTCTCCAGCTCTATCCATGCTACTGCAAATGTTAAGAACTCCTTTTTTACTGCAGTGTAGTATTCCATTGTGTAGATGTACCACAGTTTTTTCATCCACTCGTCTGCTGGTGGGCACTTAGGCTGTTTCCAAATCTTAGCTATGGTGAATTGTGCTGCTATGAACATAAGGATGCATGTATACTTTCTGATTGGTGTTTCTGTTTTCTTGGGATATATTCCTAGAAGTGGGATCACTGGGTCAAATAGGAGGTCCATTTTTAGTTTTTTGAGGAAACTCCATACTGTTCTCCACAGTAGCTGCACCAGTGTGCATTCCCACCAGCAGTGCATGAGGGTTCCTTTTTCTCCACATCCTCACCTTCACCATGTGTTTCTTGAGCACATGCTGGCTGTTCCACATTGTGTTCAGCTTCTGTAGCAAATAATCAATTTCAGTCATTACCACCCTTTCACCACCCCAGAGTCCTTCCTCTTAAAAGCTTCCATGGTTAGTGGCTAAGGTCAGGGCTGGTAAATCAGGGTCATTTGGCACACCAATGGCCCTGGAGAGAGAGTGTATGTGGCAAAAGGCTCTTGGGTGGTGAAGGAAGGCCTGAGTGTGATAGGATGGGTGAAAGGGATAGGGTGGGAGATGTTCTTTAAGCAGGTGAAGATACATAGGAGACCAAATCTGGCTAAGGGCCAAACCTTGGAGAAGACACAGAGGATGAGAAAAAGGAAAAAGGCAGGCCAAAGGTACATTGGCAATTTTTTTTGTAAAGAGGACTCTTCTGTGTAACCTGAATGAGTCCTTCAAGCACAGCAGGGTGAGGAACATAATAATTCCTGGTATTTGTCCCAGACCTTGCCACTTAGAGATATCTCTCTCTTTCTCTCTCTCTCTCTCTCTCTCACACACACACACACACACACACACACACACACACACACAATGTCTTAATTTTCGCAACAGTTCTGTCAAGGTGGATAGGGCATGTGGTAATCACTCCCATTTGACAAATGAAAAACTGAGACTCAGAGAGATTGACTTGCGTAAGGTCACACAGACACTTTTATGATAGAGATGGAACCAGAACTTGGTCTCTCAACTCTCAGGGCAATGAGACCAGAATTGGCCTAGGGGACAATCCAGAGTGTGGATATAACCAACTCCATAGTGTTTTCTCAGGAATTCTGGGAAGGACCCCTGCCCCAGATATATATCAATCTCTCTTCTCTGATCACTAATACCTGAAATTGCAGTCTTAGAAATTAATTCTTTTGGATAGGAACTGTGGCCACTGTTAAGATGTGGAGGGAAAAGTGGCGACACAGGAGAATATCTCACCACCTGGGAGTGTACCTAGGAGAGGACCTGGCTGAAATGGGATGGAAGCAGTGCTGGCAAACTTTCCCCTTTTGCGTAAGAAGGGGAGATGTTGCATCAGAGTGAATGCTGGTGACACTGAGAAGCAGGGGGAGGGGCCAATCTGGCCTGAGGCAGGCCTAGGAGTGCTCTAATGGGTGACTGCACCAGGAGTCCTTGGAGGAAGGCTGGGGGAGGACTTCCATGTAGTGTGTGGGGGAGGGCGGCTGTGGCTGGTAGACAAGGAAGCAGGTTGGCTTAAGAAGCTGGAATTGTGCAGGGGTGGGCGGGGGTGTGGGAGCTATTCAGGGAGTTGGTCTGGAGCCAGGGGCCAGTCCCAAGGGGGTGAGCTGAGGCTTGAGAGTTCTGGGCCCGATTCCAGCCCCTGACCTTGAGTTACCATGCAACTCGGCACTTTTCCTATATCAGCCAGACACCCATCAGGTCTCTTATCTCGGCTTCCCCGTTTTATAAAAAAACTGTGTAAAAATTACTCTCTGGATTCCTCCTGATGGACCTGCTGTCTTACAGGCCTTACCACCCCCCATACAGCATCATTCAAGCCTCTTTGGCCTGGTAGAAACTCTTGCCTGCTGCCTTTAATCCCAGAGGCTGTCCCTCCACAGTGCAGGCTGCCCTGCATGCGATGGTCCTGAGGGTAAGGGCCTAAAGGTCTCACTAAGCTCAAAGGCACAGCTGTAAATAGGTGAAACTGAGAATATCAAGGGTGGGATTGTTAGGACTAGCAGTAACCTTAGAAACCACTTTTGCTATTCATTCATTCATTCATTCATTCATTCATTCATTCAATTATTACATTTGTTGATATTCCAAGGTTGTACTAAGTAGCCAGGGGCAAAATCAAGCCAGAACCCAGGTCTCCTGACTATTATTCTAATACTCTTTCCACCACCTTCTGGAAAGCATACAGCTCAAGTATAAGGGCATAGTATTTATTCTCTATGTAGAGTCAGACTTTACTATAGTCAGAGTAGCATCTGGCCTAATTGGCAAGATTTGAAGATCGCTGATAAACAATCTCCCACCTCAGCTTGTTCCCTTCCCACAACTCATACCTAAAATTATACCACCGAATGTAATCTTTGGATTAAAACTCCTGTGATTTGACAGCAAAACCTGTTAAGCCATTACCCGCCATTTACACAAAAACATTTCTTTGATTTGTCCATTAGGCCAGGTACGGTTGTCTTGGGGGAGGTACACTGTGAGTCACCTCAAAGGAGGTATGGCTAGGAAGGTCAGGGAGCCCTCCAGATAGTGAGGGGTCCATGTTACTCCAGGCAGCAAGAGGGCAGAGGTTCCCTGAGGGGACAGGCAGGAGGAAGGTTCCTGAAAAGGAAGCAGGAAGGTTTTGAAGACAGACTCCTACTTCACAGTGTAGTCTTCTGGCCAGCCCTGCACCTACACAGTGATGCTCAGTGACATTTTGTTTCAAAATATGTGTTTACATTTGGTATTTCCTTATGCTGATTATACTGAGTCTTTTGTCTCTTCCACAGCCTGGTGACTGAGTAGTTTGTACTTAGATTTCTGAGGGCCTTCACCGAGTCTGGTCAAATAGTTGTCTTTAAATAGTCTGCCAGTCCCTGAATTGAAATGCAGTTCTGTCCCATCTTGGCATGCTAGAAGGGGCTCCCTTCAGGAAATTGCAATGGAAATCATTTAGTCAATGGAAAGAATAGCCCCTACTGCAGAGCTTCCCTGCCTGACCCTGATAAGGGCCTCTTTCCAATTCCCCTGTAGATATGACAAAGGGAGCTCAGTGGGAAGAGATATTCATTCCTAGAACACAGCCCTACCTGGAAATCTCAAAACCAAATGAAATGGGGGGGGGATCTAAGTGCAATGCCCAGCTAGATACTGCCTGGAGTTTTGGAATCAGACACCAAAGGTTCACAATTGGCCTCTCCCTCTTACTAACAGGGTGACCCTAGACAACTCATTTAACTTCTCTGAGCCTCAGTTTATTAATCTTAAAAATGGACCTACTGGTAATGATAACATGATACCAAACTCCTACTCTCAGCTATGTAACTGTTGATGAGGTTCAAACTGCTAATGGATATAATGCTCTTGGCAAAGTGCCTGCTCAGTAATCAGTACATGGGAGCTACTGATATTATTGTTATTGGGACCAGATGTGGCTTTGAGATCTCCCAGTGATAGGTCAAGACCAAACAGCAGTCCATCCCAGCACTCTTGTTGCATCAAGGTTTTCATTATGTCAGGTTTGCTTAAAGCAAGGCCCACCTGCAGGGCATTCCCTGCGCTGGTGACTCATGGGAGGGGTGCATGCCACCCACCTATTTTAAGCTGTTCTACATTTTCTTCTCTCTGACATGGACATGTTTACACAGTGGAGGGCAGTCCCAGTCAAAACAAGATGAAAATACACTGCTGGCTGGGAGCCCTAGGCTAACTGGTTTCAGGTCCTCTCCCAGCTGTCAGTGCCTTACAATAGGGCCATGGAGATGGTGGGGGACTGCCCATCCCTACTCTCCAGGCTTTTTTCATTGGCCCAGCTCTGCCTGGTGGCAGGCAATTGGCCATCACCTGGTCAAGCTACAGTTGGGTTTCAGGGCACCAAAGTTTTAGAAGGGTAAGAAGGAGGAGTGCTGAGGAGCAAGGGCTGTCCTGGCCAGCCCTCTTGTGTGACTATTGTGCCTGCCGCTGGAGCTGCCTGATGCACAGGCAGAGGAGAACTGCCAACAGAGAGTGGCGGAAAATGGCCAAAGCAAGCTCTCCCAGCAACAACTCCCCTCTTAAAAAAGAAAAGAAAAGAAAAGAAAAGAAAAGAAAAGAAAAGAAAAGAAAAGAAAGAAAGAAAGAAAGAAAGAAAGAAAGAAAGAAAAGAAAAGAAAAGAAAAGAAAAGAAAAGAAAAGAAAAGAAAAGAAAAGAAAAGAAAGAAGTGAAAAGGAAAAAAAAATTACCCTGTGGAAGAAGAACCTAACAACCATTTATCAGAGTCTTCAGGACAATCAAAGTCTCACCTATGCCAACTTATAAATGAATAAGTAGAACTTGAGGAGGAGCTGCCTATTTGGTGAAGGAGCAAATTAGATCCCCTGGACACTCAGGCATTTTGGTTTCTTGACAAAGTCCAGGAATATTTTGGCACATTTGCTTGTTTCCTAAAACATAAGACTACCAGTTAGCAATTGCAAGGCCCCGCCCCAGACAGCACTCCACCAGTCTCTATTAAGTCAGCCTGTTACTTCTCCCAGAAGCCTCCCCCACCCCAACCCCTATGTGGGCCACACTGAACAAGGTCATCATGTTAATTCCCTGAGAAAAAGGAAACAGTTCCCCTTTCAAGAAAGACTTTTCATTTTAACAGGGGTCTTCAAGACTTCAAACCCAAGGGTGACATTAAAGGTGAGAATGTCCTTTATCTTGGTTATCATCATCAGTATTTTTGTCAGGACAGCTTTTTTTGTCCCCATGTCCCCCATCGTTCCAGTTATATGGCTGTCACTTGCCCAGAATCAGGCTTGCTGGCCCAAAATCCCTCTTTGATGTTACTGCCAGCTGAGACTGGACTGCCCTGCTCCTGGGCTTCATCACCCTCAACTGTTCCTCGTGGGTGTTCTGTTCTCAAGTGACCCAGCCCCTCCAGCTAAAGGTGGAAACTAAACCAGAGTCTTAATGTTACTAGGGAACCAGGAGCATGCACATGTGTGGGCACACACACACACACACACATGAATTATCTCTTTTATTGAAGAAGTTGTGCCTTGATCCCAGGTCATTGGTGGCCACTTATTCAGTTAAATTGTGTCTGGGTCAGATTTCCCAAGTGTGTTTGATTTTCACTGGTCTTTTGTGTTTTTAAATGCAGAGGTGCTCTCAAACAATAACTGTCCCCAAATAAAAGTGTTAACACAAAGCAAAGTCATGAATTTGCCTATAGTTCTTCCCCAAAGGGACTATTAGCAAAGTTCTAACACATCAAAAAATCTTTATTTATTTATTTATTTATTTATTTATTTATTTATTAAGCATGCATTTACCACATTGGGACTGTTTGCCAGGCACTGGTCCAAACCCTAGAGGTAAGGTGGTGAAGAAGTTAAGCCCCTGCCCTTAGAGAGCTTATATTCTAGTCTAGGAAGCCCATTGATGCTCAAGAGCTTGTGTGCTTCCTCCTTTCAGTCGTGGTCTTATCTTACTGTGCCTCTGGTACTACTTGAAAGATTAGAGGTCCTGCTGGTCACAGACTGTTTGTGCCATTGCAAAGGCTCTCCAAACCAAAACCTAATGCATGTCATGGGTCCAAAGTTCAAAGGAGGATTGCTAAGACTTTCAAGAGACTAAATTTAAATGATTCCATTTTAACATCAATCCCTCAAAGCACCCCTCCCCATAAGCAGTATCAATAACTTGTGAAACCATGGAAATTACAAATGGAACTGGACAGAAAGTTAGCAATGCTAGACTTTGAAACAGCACTGATAGGGCTGCTCATTTGGTGAGCCACTTTGCCAGCAGTGTTTGGGGACCAAGGGACCCTTCTTCATCATGGAGCATATAATGTTCATTCAGCCCTCTTGTTTTCCAAAAACTTAGCTATGCTGTCTACATGATGTCTACCAAGTGTGGAAACATAAGTAAATATATATATATCACTAGTGGTCCAGTGCATGAAATTTGTGCACATTAAAAGGGGATTAATTAGAGGAAATAATTTAATATTGCTATTTGCCCTTTCTTTATAAGTGTCAGAGATGAAAGAAAATTAGTAAAATGTATATTAAAACCTTCCTCCTGTCAGAGTCTGGCGCTCACCACGGGACCCAGAGTCAAGTCCCAGCCCACCCACATGTGCCTCAAAATTGCGTGAGACCCAAACCCGGCTGCCCCTCCACCCACTGGGCTAGATCCAGACCTGACCAGTCCCACCCTTGTCAAGCCCCACTGGGCAGGGGATGTAGCCTTAGGTCCCTTGGCCTGGCACCAGGATGGGGGGAAGGCATGGCCTGAGGTCCCCCAGCCCAGATGGGGGGGGTTGACTTGAGGTCCCCTGTCAAGCCCCGCCAGGTGGTGGACATGGCCTGAGATACCCTGTCAAGCCCCGCCAAGTGGTGGAGGAGGGTGCAGCCTCAGGTCCCCCATCAAGCCTCGCTGGGCGTGAGGTGTAGCCTGAGTTCCCCTGACCCAGCACTGGGGGTGAACCTTGAGGTCCCCTGTCAAGCCCCACCAGGCAGGGGGGCACAGCCTCAGATCCCCTGGCCTGGTGCCAGGGTGGGGTGCGCAGCCCGAAGTCCCCTGTCAAGCCCCACCTGGTGGGGGGGCGTGGCCTGAGGTCCCCTGTCAAGCCCCACTGGGCTGGGGAGGGCATAGCCTCAGGTGCCTGCTGATTGCTTGTTAAGGCTCCATATGGGAACTTGGCTCAGCTGTGGGTGCAGCCATCTTTGTGACAGAGTGATGGTCAATTAGCATATTCCCTCTTTATTATTATAGATAAAATTGTCAAGAATGTTATCAGTCTGCAAAAATATTATATCTCTATTTCTAGATGTGTGAGTGTCCATAAACAAATATACTCATATACCTTGTATGATGCATATGTTGAGAAGGGAAGCATCATTCCCATTTCATAAATGAGGAGTTGGCAGCTTAGGAGGTTTATAAGCCTTCTAAGTATCCCCAAGTTGGTCAATGTGGAAAAAGAACATATTTTCTTTCCACTTGACCAAGTTCAATTATTTATTTGTGGGGTTTTTTTAAATATTTTTTTTTATTTGTTTCAGAGAGGAAGGAGAGGGAGAGAGAGATAGAAACATTAATGGTGAGAGAGAATCATTGATTGGCTGCCTCCTGCACAACCCCGACTGGGGATCAAGCTTGCCATCTGGGCATATGCCCTTGACCAGAATCAAACCCAGGACCCTTCAGTCTGCAGGCTGATGCTCTGTCCACTGAGCCAGATCAGCTAGTGCTTGACCAAGTTCATTTAGAAAGGGTGCTAAAACTGAATTTCTCAGGGAGTAAATCACCCTGATATATGCACTAAGGGAGTCCCTCTCAATTCTTATCTTTACATGTATACCTCAGTGCCAGACCACCACAATAAAGTAAATATCACAATAAAGCAAGTCACATTTTTTTTTCGGTCCTCAGTGCATTAAAGGTGAGAATATCCTTTATCTTGGTTATCATCATCAGTATTTTTGTCAGGACAGCTTTTTTGTCCCCATGTCCCCATCGTTCCAGTTATATGGCTGTCACTTGCCCATATAAAAAAGTTATGTTTATACTATACTGTAGCCATTAAGTGTAGAAGAGCATTATGTCTAAAACAACAATGTATGCACCTTAGTTAAAAATACTTTATTTCTAAAAATACTAATCATCATCTGAGCCTGTTGGTAAATGGTGCCAACAGACTTGCTCGATGCAGGATTGCCATAATCCTCCAGTTTGGAAAAAATGCAGTTTCTGTGAAGTGCAACAAAACAAGGTATACCTGTACTTTCTATCTAAGGGCTCAGGACCAGCTCATGGGCCAAGCCCATTATTGCAGCAGTGTATTGTTGGAGAGATCACTTAGTGACATAACGGATGCCTCTGAATTATCTCCCCAATGTGCTCAGGCCCCAATACTCTAAGATGTCCAAGTATTTTCTGTGAAGCTCACTTCTTCTCAACTGTTGAGCTAGTAACTGCCTATACTTGGCCATTCCTTAGTTTCTATATTTACTTTAGTTCTTCTGCAATTCTGTCAATAAATTCCACGGTATAATTAGTTTTAGCAAATAACAGGATGTCAGAACTGTTGACCAGGATTCATTACTTTGCTCTTAGAGCTCTATCCCAGGACATAGG